CAAATAAAAGTTTATGTATTACAAATAACTTTTTAAGTTCACGAGACAAAAATTTGTTATTTAATTTAAAAAAAGTTTTTTTTAAACAAAACTTTTAGTTTTAAAAAAGAAATGATTACAGTTCCAAATGTTTTGATAAACTAACCTCAGTTAAGTAAATTTTTTTTTTTCATTGAATAATTGTGAAACAATTTTAACTGCATACTCTGCGAACCAGACCCTAAACTTACTTAAAGTCTGAATTAAGTTTTTTCCCCTTTCATTAATGACACGCTTTTATTGGACAGGAGCAGCTTGATTGAATATTACATACATTATATCTATCATGGTAGTTCAGGGTGAGTTATTTTTAATTCTAAATGAATATCCTTGTTGGACTTTTATTTAAGTGCTATTCTCCTTCAAGATACATTAACCTAATGCTAGAATAAATGCAATGTACATTATGCAGCAAAGGAAATTAGAAGACATATATCTATTATAGAGATGATACGTTTTGTACGGGCGATGTGCCGCCATTGCACAAGCAATACTGAAGAATGACTGCTATCATTAACGATACAGGGAAGAAGCTTTTTAGTTATCTTGCTTTGCTAGCAAAGTCGTTAGCTAGCAGCTAGCTAATAGCACAACAACAACAACAACAGCCTAATATCTGTAAAAATATAGACGTTCTTATCAAGTCTCCTCCCGCTCAGTAGTTTTTCAGAGAAAGGCAGACGCAGAGGCCTGTCAGTGTCGTATTTCATTACCTCTCTGTTTAAACCGCTACTCCGTGCTGAAGCAGAAACGTTCAACGTTTTCCGTCATCTGAGGGTACGTTCACACTGCGGCCTGAAGTGACTCAATTCCAATTTTTTGGCAATTCCGATTTTTTTGCCGGGGCCGTTCACACTGCCAGTAAATGCGACCTGTATGCGTTCTGCAGTGTGAACGGGCAGACGACTGTCCCGCATGCGCAGTAGAGGGCGCAATAGCGCCAGCGTTCTAAGTGTTCTGCCAACCGCCATAAAAAGAAGAAGTGCTCAGTGTTTGCGAAAGTAAATATGGAGGCTAACGGTGGAGCTTAGCTTACATATTTGAAGTTGTTATCCGGCCGGAGCAGCTTATTAACAACTTAATCCTCATATAATCCGTCATGGTTGTTGTTTTTCTTCCCACTTGTGCGTATCAGGACGCAGAATAGTGAGATTTGTTGAGAATCAGTGACGTTCAGTTCAGATGAATCCGACCTGGACGTTAGTAGGTCGCATTTGAATCGGATACGTATCGGATATGGGTCAGATTCGAAAAAGAATCCGACCTGTACTGTTCACACTGCCATGAAAAGATCGGATACAGGTCGCATTACGTCAAAAAAATCGGAATTGAGTCACTTCAGGCTGCAGTGTGAACGCACCCTGACAAGCAGCAAGTCTACTCCACTTTATTCACCAAAAACGTTTTTTTTTTAATTCACCAAAAACTGTTCTGTAATCTCGAACGTTTGCTACGTTGAGTTCCAGTTAGCCGCCTTATCTCGCTGCGCTAGAGGCAACTGCGTCATGCGTCACGGGCAAAAGGTCAAAGGTAACAAGATTACCATTATGTTGTACAAAAAAATCCCAACAAAAACCAAATAATTTTAGTACATGTTATTATGTGTCAGAAGAGGGCTTCGGAAATAAAATAAAAAATAAAAAAATTGACCAAAAGGGCACTTGGGGGCAAGGAGCAAAAGGGGCAGGTGCTCAAGCACCCCCAGCCCCCTATTTGATTGTACATCTTTCTAAGAAGATGCTGAAATTATGGCCCCAGTTAAGATTTTCTGATATAGTAAAAGTTAATTGTTTATTAAATAAAAAAGGGAAATATTTAAACAAAATCATTCAAAATGTCTATGTTATTCATTTAAAAACAACAATTTCTCTCCTATAATGTTGTAAAAGAGCTAAAACCAAACTGAGAAAACACATAGCAGCTGCTAAAGCCGTATCCTTGACTGCTATTTATTACAAGTGAGCTGGATGTTGTAGAAATATTTGCCTGCAGTCTCACTGGTACTCGGAAACAAAGCTTTCCACTCCCCACCCACTCACTCTCCCTCCTCAAACCATTCCTATATTTACTTTTTGTGAGTCTCTTCTTAATCTCTTGTCAATGAGTAAACCGTACTAATCAGTAAGACCTATCATTTTGCAGTAATCACCAGCCAATTTAGCTGGTTCCATAAAGTGAAACAATGTGATTAAGAAGCACAGCAGACCCACAGTTAGTCAATATACATTTCTAATGTGTGGATTTGTTATTTTAACATGGATCAGGGGTCCAGCCATGGGTGATTCCACAAAATGTCATCTAAGGGAGTCTGACTAAAATACACCTGTAAGATTTTAACCTGTAAAAAAGCTAATCAAACCCATATGTATTTTTGTTGTGGCTTCTGCGTCTAACAGTTCTGATTAAAGTAACCAGTAGATGTGTTGCTATATGTCCTCCATTAACACTGCGGAGCACGTGTTTGACTTCCACTTGGACATGCCTTCTCACACATGCTTGAACACAAAGAGCAACACAAACAGACACTGGAGTGCGTAAGTACATGTCATCTGTCAGCACCCTGTAGAAATACAATAACACCATGTGGTCAGTGTTATTATTTTTCTAACCCAGTACATCCTCTTCTATCTGGTTCATTTGGTATTATCACAGTGACAGTGTGTCTTAACAGTCAGGCTTTGAACTGCTGAAATCGTCATTTCTACAGAGATGAATCTGCAATTCTCAGGTGAATGACCTTGTGCCATAAGGACAACAATGCCTCTGAATGTTGGACCATAAAGATGGGATGTAATATGTTTATATGCTGTATAAATCAGTGTGTGCTTTCTCTTTTGTTTCTTTTAAGCCCCATTCTATGGCAAGCTGTTGTGTACATATTTGATACCTTTGACATCTGCATCATTTTTTAAGGCTAGTTCTAGGGGGACCGCCGCCCCCCCAGGTTCCCCTATAGCTCCGCCACTGATCCCTACTCACTTACACTTGGTGGATAACTGAACGCTGCTCCCTGACATTGTGGATCAACTTAAGAGAAGCAGTTTCCTGAATTTGGACAAGGTTGCTTTTAGTGTCCCTGTTGCTGTTTCCTCTCTAGAAAGGCCAGCAGCAGACCTTCTGTGTATTTGCATTACTGTTTGTTTGAGATTCGATTAGATTCAGAAGACTGCTTATAACATCTAATAGCAGGTAAAAAAAAAAATGTATGAACTCAATCAAAGGTGCAGTTTTTAATCATGACTTCACATTAACAGACACATGTCAGATTTTAGCATAATGTCAATTTACAATGCAGATATCATCTATCTATGCTTTTGTGTCTCAGTTAAATATTTCAGTAAAACTCTGTAAAACACACATATACAAGGTTTTTTTTTTTTTCATTTCTCAAGGGAAAAATGGAGATCCAAAGCAACTTACCTTTTAATTAAAAAATAGTTACCCCATAAACCTAATAAGGCATTTTGCCAACACTGGGAAAAACTACTGATAATACATGATCAGTTATTTATTTTTTAAAATTGTTATAGAGACGTTTTGGCAGGCTCTTTTTTTATAGTATCGTTTTAATCTAGTCACAATGCAACTACTGCATTTCCAACCTCTCTCTTCCTCCGCTGATCACACTGACAAATGTGAGGCACACAGTAAGAGCTGTGTCAATGTTTTCAGCCGTTCTTTTCATGTGTGGCCAGAGTGAAAACTATCAATGTGGACGAGTTTTACAACAGCTGATGCATGCACTGCAGCAGAGGAAGCAGGCAGTGCAAAGAGTGAGCAGTCAGCATGCGGCGCAGCAAGGAAGGCAGCAAGTCTTTGATCAGGTTTAACTGGCAAGTCAGGTCTTTGACATCTAAAGGGGAGGCTGAGAGGGTCTGAAGGGAACAACAACAAGCAGCTGAGAGAGAGAGAGAGAGAGAGAGAGAGAGAGAGAGAGAGAAAGAGAGAGGGAAACAGGGTGCCTCCTCTCAGGGAAGCAGAAGAGGAGGGGTGGGAGGACAAGAGCAGGGAACGGTGAGGATTCATGCTGTGTTAGCATCCCCTCAGCAACTCCATCAATACTGCATACAGCTGAGAAACTGGCAAAGGTCCTCCGTGCTGCATTTTCAGGCTCGGCCAGAGAAAGAGAGCGACTCCCACGACCGGTCAACTCAGTCTGCTGCTGGAGGGGCTCTTTGTGAGGGGCAGAGCACACACACACACACGTACACGCACGCACACACACATACAAGACACACTCTGACACACACTCTCTGGAACCTCTGCTGCATCAAGAAGCAGAGGAGGGACACACGATCTGGGAATACTCCAGAGGAGAGAGTTATCACCGGAGAGGGACAGCGAGAAAACTCTTGCTGCCATGCCCTGCACCGGAGGCTGAGCTGTGGGAGAGTTTGACAGGACCTCAGTGCACCTGCTCCATGCACACTGGTAAGCTGATTTATTCCTCTTACAGTCAGAGAAATGTAGCCCAGCTTGTTTTCCTGTTATTTTGAGATGCTGTTTGAATAACTGGAAAAATGTGCTAATTCATCTTTCTCCATTGCTTCATTCAGAGTAAATCTTGTTTATTTATTTGTCTGGGACTCAGTACTTTTTTTTTTTTTCCTGGAGTCACAAGCACAGTGTGTCCACAGTTTATCAGCTGAAATCACATAACAGAACATAGTCGATTCTCATCACTTTTGCTATACACAATAAATAATATTTACTAGTTCGAAGACGCAGATAGAGCCAGTGAATGTCTCTCAGAATATCAAACATTGTAAACATCTTTGCTGCAGAAGAATTGCAGGTATTTAAAATTGTGCTTTCGCTGAAACTGGGAAGTAGAGAACTGTTACGTGGAAGCACAGCTCCCCTGCAGGGGTGCACACCCCTTTTTTATAAAGCTCAGTTTTAGTTTTCCATGACATCATGGAGAGGTTATCGCTCAAAGCGGTGGCAAAGTGACCTGAAACAATTCGCTTGTGCCTTTGTCCTGCAGCTGTGGCTTTGGGGGAAGTTAATGCCACATTCAGCCATCTAGGGTTATATTCACGCATTTTAAAATGATGTCAATGTTGCTGTATAAAACAACAGAGGCATGTTTTTTTGATTCCACGTGGCAACTAAAGTGGTGCATTGTTGTTACAATTCAGAGTTTGTTTTTGGATTCCTTTCGAAGCTTAACTGTGACCTCGGTAATCTGGTGAAAATATGGGCTCACGCCTCGGCGCCACATTTCATCTTTGTTCAGGTATTTTCAGCAAGAAGTGCAGGCAAACATTTTTGTTGGAATCATTTAACAACAAGGAACAAACATGAATGTCTTAGAAGAGTAATTAATTTGCTTGATACCTTACACAGCAAACATCTACTTATTGGCAGTGCAGCCAAAGCGATTGAAAAGATGTCTTGTTGTGTCATTTTATTGTATTTATTGTATAAAACTATACTTGCACCTGGTAAAACTCAACAACTTCTTTACGCAACCTGAGGACAATTCACAAGGCTTATCTTGTTGCTCCCAAACCAGTCTGTGAGAGAGACAGGTGTGGCCAAATAAGGTGTTTGAAATGTATGTCCTTTTATCAGATCAGGACCAGAGGAATTGTTTAGCTACATGTAAAGATAGTGAATAAAAACAGAGATATTTGTTTGTTACAAACTAATTCTTGCCTTCATTTACCACGTTTGACTCAATTTAGATGTTACTGACATTGTAACCATGGCACACAATGATTTCCAAAAAAAATTTAATTTGGATATACATTTATACATCCTCAATATAGTTAATTAGGATCTTATGCTAACCCATATTGTACATCAGTATATAAAAAAACACTCCTTATAGAGAAATACAGTAGTGACTACTTTTCTTTAAGAAGAAAGTATGTGTTTTCATGATGAAGAGTAGATATTTAATCTTTTGGAATCGCAGTGAATCATTGAAATCACCCAAATTCCTTGAAGAATTAATTAAAGTTTTAGACACCAGAAGTAAATGTGGCGTAAAAATCTGTTAGCTGATAAAGACTTTGAACAAACATTGCCCTCTTGGATAGATTTTGAGAAATTCTGTCAGGTAGAGTGGGCAAATTTGTACCAAGTCACGTTGTGGCATTTGATGCTTCGACAAAGCTTCACGTTTTTTGTGTGAATTTGTGTAAGCAGGATGTGTTTTTCTATACTTTGCGTTCCTAACAAATATGTATGCTTCAGGCGATTTTTACATTCTACATGCAAAATGCAAAGAACATTGCATACTGCAAACCTGTGTCAGTTCACCTGAACTAACGGGCTGAGTAAGTAGAGCTTTAATCAGAAAATCAGCCAAGAGGTCCATACTAACTTGTGGGGAGCTGCAGGGATCAACAAGCTCGGGTGGGAGAATCTCTTGATGGGGCACTGCATAAATCTGGCTTTTATGTCAGAGACGTAAGAAGAAAATCTTGTGAAAATGACTGACACTTCCCTGAACACTAGGTGAGACATGGTGGTGGCAGCATCATGCTGTTGAGTTGTTTTCCTTCAGTAGGGACAGGCACACCGGTGAGAGTCGACGGTAATAACAAAAATGAAAGAAAAACAGTTTCAGCAGAAAAAGACTGAAGACTCAGGTAATAGTTAACCAACGATTTTTAACAAACAGAACAAGCGACAATAGATCTGCAGCTGCCTTTGCTGCGAAAAGTTGTTTTTCTCACAGTGTTGAAGCTCAAGACAAATCCCTGCCACACTTTTCAGATTTTAATCCCTCTTTCATTTTCCTTCAACTTCACATCTATATGAGCTATATATATATATATATA